ACTCCGGTCCTCCACGTTCCTTGGTTCAGCTCCACTTCACCCACGTCATCTCGGACCTCTGCCTCTATGCATTGGAACTCTCCTAAAGGACTGCCAATGTCCTCCGGAATGATTCCTTGCAACTATGTCCACTCCGGCGACCCGGAGCTCCCAAAACCACCAACACTCAACACCAGTACCTTGGAACTTGTTCATCTCGACTACCAACATACCAGTCCAACATCTGGTACACTTATGCGCTATTCACCTATGCCCCATCACTCCTGCTCTCGTTCCAGTCGCTCCGGACATATCTCCGGAATCCGGAGATACCCGGAGTCACCGGAGTCATCAGACTCTTCCCCGGAACGTTCGCTATTATGCCTTATCAACTCCTATTCCATTTATGCATCCCTTATCACTTCTCATCTATTGTTTCAACGCTCTCATCACTTCTCCTTGTTATCTTTTCATATGCTTCACGCTTCCATCACATTCCCATCATTCCCCATCGCTTCTTCATCTGCCTCAAGGCAGATGTCAAAGCACTTACATCTTATCACTCTTCTATCCATCCGTTCATCTATCAAACCATATGCTCTACCTTTCCCCTTTCCTACTTCCTATTATTCCTTATTCCCACTTCATCTCTTTTGCCGCATGGTAGTGTCTTCTTCCATGTGGTTCACTTCATTTCATGTTGCTTCACTTTGCCTCATGTTACTTATTCCCTTTCGTACTAATTACTTGTCCCCAGTATAAATACCGGTACTTTACATCTTGTACAGTATCCGAAAAATAAAAGTTATCCATGCTTCCTTCTCATGGACTGTTGCCAATCGTCTCTTGAGGTTCTGGTCTATTGCCTCTCGACGTCTCCCTCTCTATGGCCTTGCTCCCGTCTCCCTCTGGTTCCCTCTTGTGACTCCGGTCACTCCGGTCACTCCGGTTTCCGGTCACAACTCCGGAGTCCTCGCTCGGCCATACCAACAACTGCGGTTCAACTCCGGGTTGTCTCCCATGTCTTGGATATGCCTCTAGTTCGCTCCGGCACACTCCCTTCGCATCTTCTTCTTGTCAATCATTCTGGTTCACACCGGAACTGCGCTGGACGACTACCCAACAAACACCGGTTATGCTCTTGTGTCTCCGGTCCAGGCTATCCCTGTCCCGTCGCCATCTTCGAGCTCGTACGACTCGGACCTTGGCATAGGACACTTCCCCATCTCGCAGCCCGAGGCCAGTCAGTCGGTCACCCTAGCTGAGTTGTGGTGTTCCGAGAAGTGGCTGATCTAGACATCCATTCATCTCCGGTTCGCGGCTTAGCCCGGCTCCGGTCATATGATCGGATATTCCTTCCCTCTTGGCTCAGCGATATAACACGATCACACCATGCGCATATGGGATGTAGCAACAGGGAAGCCAGTTGGTGCAGCATTGCAAGGTCACACTAACTGGGTCCCCTCAGTTGCATTCTCACCCGATGGCAAGCACATTGTGTCTGGCTCTGGCGATTGCACTGTGCGCATATGGGATGTAGCAACAGGGGAGCCAGTTGGTGCCCCATTGAACGGCCACACCAGCTCGGTCTTCTCAGTTGCATTCTCACCCGATGGCAAGCACATTGTGTCTGGCTCTGGCGATTGCACTGTGCGCATATGGGATGTAGCAACAGGGGAGCCAGTTGGTGCCCCATTGAACGGCCACACCCACCTCGTCTTCTCAGTTGCATTCTCACCTGATGGCAAGCACATTGTCTCTGGCTCTTTTGATCACACTGTGCACATATGGGATGTAGCAACAGGGGAGCCAGTTGGTGGCCCATTGGAAGACCACACTGGCCCAGTCTTCTCAGTTGCATTCTCACCTGATGGCAAGCACATTGTGTCTGGCTCTGGCGATTGCACTGTGCACATATGGGATGTAGCAACAGGGGAGCCAGTTGGTGCCCCATTGGAAGACCACACCGGCCCAGTCTTCTCAGTTGCATTCTCACCTGATGGCAAGCACATTGTGTCTGGCTCTAGCGATCCCACCATGCACATATGGGATGTAGCAACAGGGGAGCCAGTTGGTGCCCCTTTGGAAGGCCACACCAGCTCGGTCTTCTCAGTTGCATTCTCACCCGATGGCAAACACATTGTGTCTGGCTCTTATGATCACACTGTGCGCATATGGAATGTAGCAACAGGGGAGCCAGTTGGTGCACCATCGGAAGGCCACACCAGCTCGGTACCCTCAGTTGCATTCTCACCCGATGGCAAGCACATTGTGTCTGGCTCCGACGATCACACTGTGCGCATATGGGATGTAGCAACAGGGGAGCCAGTTGGTGCCCCATTGGAAGGCCACACCGGCTCAATCAATTCAGTTGCATTCTCACCCGATGGCAAGCACATTGTGTCTGGCTCTTATGATCACACTGTGCGCATATGGGATGTAGCAACAGGGGAGCCAGTTGGTGCCCCATTGGAAGGCCACACTGACTCGGTCCCCTCAGTTGCATTCTCACCTGATGGCAAGCACATTGTGTCTGGCTCATATGATCACACTGTGTGCATATGGGATGTAGCAACAGGGGAGGCAGTTGGTGCCCCATCAGAAGGCCACACCAGCTCAATCAATTCAGTTGCATTCTCACCCGATGGCAAACACATTGTGTCTGGCTCTTATGATCACACTGTGCGCATATGGAATGTAGCAACAGGGGAGCCAGTTGGTGCACCATCGGAAGGCCACACCAGCTCGGTACCCTCAGTTGCATTCTCACCCGATGGCAAGCACATTGTGTCTGGCTCCGACGATCACACTGTGCGCATATGGGATGTAGCAACAGGGGAGCCAGTTGGTGCCCCATTGGAAGGCCACACCGGCTCAATCAATTCAGTTGCATTCTCACCCGATGGCAAGCACATTGTGTCTGGCTCTTATGATCACACTGTGCGCATATGGGATGTAGCAACAGGGGAGCCAGTTGGTGCCCCATTGGAAGGCCACACTGACTCGGTCCCCTCAGTTGCATTCTCACCCGATGGCAAGCACATTGTGTCTGGCTCATATGATCACACTGTGTGCATATGGGATGTAGCAACAGGGGAGGCAGTTGGTGCCCCATCAGAAGGCCACACCAGCTCGGTCTTCTCAGTTGCATCCTCACCAGATGGCGAGCAAATTGTGTCTGGCTCTCTTAATTCTGCACTGCACATACTGGATACTGCGGCTGCAAAGTTCTCCAGCAATCTGCCCCATCCTGCCCCGGTCAATATCAATGATCACCATTCTATCTCGGTAAGCTCATCTGAATATCAGTTTATATTTTTCTATGCTTCTCCCCCCATCCTAGATGGTCCCAGCCAATGCACATTTCCAACTTCGTGAAGGCTGGTTCTCCACTCCATCAACATTGCTCTTCTGGCTTCCAAGTCAATATAGAACAGGTTTTTGGTACCCAAATCACACAATAGTGATTCATAGGCAATCCACACGGCCCTCTTATGCTAATTTTGTTCATGGTCCTGAGTGGACACATTGCTACTCATTAAATGTCATATAACCTTCCATGAAACATACATCGATTCATGTACACACTTTCAATTCATTCTTTGTTTACCCTTGAGTGATGATAGAGTAGATTGACAGGAACTACCTCGTGCAAAGCCCAAATCACTTAGAAACTACAATTTGGCTCTCAAACTACCGGTCCTCATCTTTGGAAGTACATTCATCACTACCCGTTGGCATAATAGACCTTGGAAAGGGTGTAAGGTGTTAGATAGGGTTAGTTAGTTGGTTAGGCTTAAGGTTTATTACATTGTCGTCTTTTGCATTGTGAGCTATCACTTTGTGATACACTCAAGCGCGGCGGTGTGATGCGGACTGCGGTTCCGTGAGATGTCTGACCAATGAATTGGTTTCTGTCAGGCAAATACACGAAGGTGATTTGTCCTCTAGAGGGAAATTACTTTGTTGCGGAGAAACGTAGCTACTCTTACGCTACGGAAGGTTTATATAAGTGTGGTGGTGGTGGTGATATGGTACAATCCGTTTCCGTGAGGATTTAGGATGTAGGCGCTAGGTTCCTCGTTGGGGGCTAGCCTTCCAAGAAAGCCGCGGTTGGAGGTCGCTCTACACTTGCGCGAAGGAATGGAGCTTCGCAATGCGAGCGTCGATCCGAGCTGGGAGACCTGGGTGATATGGGGTTTCTCTTTTCTCCTTGCCTCGTATCATTCGGGCAAGCAGTGTCTTCAGAACGTGGGTTTTAACACAGCACGAGTGAGCTATAGCTCTTTTCCTCCGTAGCCCGTTTTCTTTCTGTGCTTGTGTGAACGCGCAATGGATGAGTTTCCGTGACGAGTTTGGCAAAGTTGTATTAGAATGAAATGGTGGAGTGGTTATAATCTTCACGGTTAAGCCTTCCGTGAAGATGGGAGTGGTGCCCTGCGCACGGATCTGTGTTTGAGCCTCCGAAACAACAGTTGCATGCAGCTAAGTAGGGGCTGCTGGCTGTTTAGAAGTACGTGCTTTTCATTGACTGCACCGTGACCAACGCCTTTGTAATCAACAATTTCCTCCTGACCCGCTAGCCCCACAGAGGACAGTGTAGCCTGAGCTAGTATGTGTATATGAGAGACAGCTCCGCCCGTAAGGCTGGGGGGAGGTAGCTTAGGTGTGAGCAGTGGGGGATAACAAGATGCTTTCCTTGGTAAATACATCTGGTTTTCATATGTATTCCCGCCTGATTACCGCGCGCAAACTTCTCCGTGAAGCCTCTGTCACATCTTCCTTCCTGTAAATCCTCACATGCCCTCCGCGAAGTTCGACTCCCATGTTCTCTGTTAAGTTTGATGCACACGCCTTCTGTTAGGCTCAATGGAAAGCTGTCCCCACGACCTTTACGTTCGCCCGATCCCGTCGCTTTGCATGTCCCGTAACAATTCGTGAGTCGTCCGTGAATATGTCTGTGCAGCGTTCCTTGATACCTTGGCTCCTGTGAAGTCTGATTGCTGGTTATTCGAGGTATAGGCCTGGTGGCGTAACTGGTAACATGCGCATTTATTGTACGCCATGGTGACACATAATCCTTCAAATGTGAGACCCTCGTTCGATCCGAGGTCAGGCCGTGTTCGCAAGTCCTGGTGACTTTTTCCCACGCTCTGTAGGTGTGTTTTTCCATCACGGAGAGAGTGTGCGCAAGTATTCGACCGTGAGTGACACAGGGGGCAAAGTGATGCGCACTTGTCATAAGCGCATCCATTGCGCATCCGACAGGCATGCGCTACGCTCTCGCTGCGTCCTTGCCATTGAGCTTAGGTAATCCCATTTCCTCCCTACGTGAGTTCGATTCTGTCAAAAGTCATCTTTTATGTTTCGGACTTTCCCAATCCGGAGATCTCTAACCATTCAAAGTCTATGTATTCTGCAGTTCAGTGTAAGATTTAATGGATATCTAACATGCCTCCCTTACATGCCGAGTGGCCAATGTGATAGACACAGACCTTCTGATCTGTATGAACATATATAAGGTGATGGTTCTCAGATGAGTGGCAAGTTCAACAGTGAGAATTTATCTCAGGTCTGTTCAGAATCAGAAAAGATTCAAGCACATTGTATAACCGATTCTGGTGTGTCTTGTGGATGCAGTCTGACATAGACCAGAGATATTAACAATTTTTCACTGCTCGAGAAATGTGATGGTTTAATACTAGTAGAGCACTAGCTATGCTAGAGGAAGTAGGCCCAGAAATTCGGAGCTAGGCAACTCCGTTGCCACTTCTTGTCGGAGATCTCTGGCCGCCAAACTCTCGGCAATTTTAGTGAAATCTGGGCAATAAATCCAGATAAATACCAAACAGAGGTGAGATCATCAGTCATTGGAAAGCATTCTGGAAGCTGAATGGGATAGAAGAATTGGAGAACAGCGACATACACTCACATATGCCAATGAGATCCCAAACCCGTGCATTGACAGATTATTTAAAGTCCATAACAGAAGTTTATGGGTCACTGAGCCTTCATGGTGCACAGTCAGAGCACTCCAACGGCACATGTTTACTTTTTATGGCCTGAAGTCATCCACATTTGTGGCTTGGACACTATAGACTGAAAGATGAAAAAGTGACTTTCGACAGGATTGTAACTCACGTAGGGAAGAAATGGAATTACCTAAGCTCAATGGTAAAGACGCAGCGAGAGCGTAACACATGCCTGTCGGATGCGCTTATGACGAGTGCATATCACTTTGCCCCCTGTGTGATTCCGTGGGTGTTGATTGTTGTTTCATGGGTGTTTGCAGTATAGGCCCAGTGGCGTAGCTGGTAATGCGCGCATTTGCAGTACTGTGAAAAGTGACAGTGACCCATAATCTACGAATGTGAGAACCTTGTTTGATTCGAGGTCGGGCCATTCACAATTTTGCTACCCTTTTTCCGCGGGTGTTCCGTAGTCGTGTTCCGTAGTGCGTGTGTTCCATAGGAGTGCATTACTTTTTTGTCCGCGCAGAGAGCGTCCGCCAGGCCAGTTTTCAACCGTGGGAAAAACCTCCGTGACAGTGCCGTGTAGTCTGAGGCTATCGTGATTTTCTCCGTGAGTCGTTTCGTTGCTGATTTCTGCTGCGCTTGAGCCTATCACAAAGTGATAGCTCACAGCGGAAATCAGCAATGAAACAGCTCACAGAGGAAATCACAATAAGCTTTCAGGCATGACTTCCAACTCTTGCTAGGCTTGCCCCTCAACGTCTTCTTGAATCCAAATGACACCCAGTTTTACCCTGAACCCTTAAACACTGACACTCTGACCTACATCACTGAACACAGAAATTGTCGTCAAAATTCACTGGTGGTAGATACGGCTCAACCCTTGCATTGGTACTCACCTTTTAATACAGCTAGATCTTAGAGTTCTTCGAGGTAAGTCTCGTTCCACTCTATCTCATCCAATGTCACCCTTGACTGACTGACTGGCTTGAAGGCAGTAGCCATTGACCTAATCTTGATCAACTATACTTACACAATTTCTGTACCGCTGTATATATTTAGGCTCATGGTACGTCTCAGTCTATCTTGAATCTCTTCTCAACTCACTTCCAACTCCCAGATAATACAATCCCCTGTTTATTTGGCACCCTCAGGCGGTAACTCAACTTGCTTTTACCTTCAGTAACCGCCACTCGTTGGAATCTGAGAGCTCATTTGGTTCAAGGTATGTGTCTAGAATACTTCATTGTGGCTAATTGGACTGACCCCTTGACTCCGATTTTCGTCTTTGAATTGAACATCGAGTTCAGTTGAATTGTGGTACAGTATGGTTGGTTCAACTTTTTGGGTTAATTTCGCTCGGGTTGTGCTCTTATCAGTCGCATGCCTTCGGGGAATCGCAGCTTCATAAGCTTACTCCAATGCATCTGACTGGACTCCCAAGCCCTTTTTTTCTGGGTTGAGACCTTTGATTTGACGCGAGTCGAAGTAATGCTTCGCTCGGAGGCCTTCAGGCCGAGGTTGAACCGAGTTCCTTCCTCAATGTGCACGAGGGTATGACCGCCTGAAGTTTTGCTCGTTCGTTGCATGTTGCTTTCAAACAGCCCACATTCGCTGCATCTCATGTTCATCTCGGCATGGGCGCGAACGTTCACTTATGCTATGTAGTTCAATTTTTTTTTTCATTGGTTCGTTGCACGTCCTTTCAACCAGCCTCATTCATTGCATCTCCATGTTCATCTCCGCATGGATACGAGTGTTCACTTATGCTATGTGGTTCAATTCCTTTTGGTTTCTTTTTGGCTTGGGTCGCAGAATTGGACTCTTGCATGCGACGGTTGAAGCCTCTAATATTTGCTGCAAGGAACCTGCGGCATAGAGCTCATCGAGGCATTAAATGCCCGCAAAGCATCAAGTGTTCGAAGCCTTGCTTCACCATCTAGGCCTTACATACTCTCATTGACGTCGAACCAGGCCCTTGACCGCGAGTTGGAGGTGTTTCAACATCGGGTCCCGCTTTAGTGCAGCCAGGATGGCGGAGCTTCGATTGAACCTCTGTATTGCCTTGGATTTGATATTTTCATCCAGGCATCGACCCTTTACCTATGAAGCCTCGAGCATCGTCTCAAAGGGCCTTGGTCTCCCTTGACTTGACTTTCATACTACGGTCAAAATGCCGGTTTGGGGGTACAATTCACTTGCCTATGTGCCGTTCGCTTTACTGACGTATGCATTCAAACTTGACCCTCACTTGCTCTGCAGACTATCGCCGCTGGGTTCAAGGTATGTCCGTTTTGCTGCAGGAAGATATCAATTGAACCGACCTTTAGCTTCTGAGATCCATCCAACTCAAGGCTGCTAATTATTCGAGCAGCACCTCAACTCGAGGATCTTGGGCATGTATTCAACCTCGATATTTTGGACTCGAGGTAGGTTTCTTCCATCGTCGAGTCATTCAGCTGTGCAACTGGGTCGTAGATTCAATTACAACGTGCTCGAGTTCGATGTTGACCCGTCAAGCATATATATTCCAACCTCAGGTTAAAATCTCTCATCTCCTGGCATTCCACCATAGAAAGCAACAGTATTGCAATACATTAGGATAATACCACAGACCGCATCACATTATGGGCGGTCTTTTACCGATAGGCCAGTTATACCCGCGTTGCAATGTGTCCATGGACACTATATATATGTATATATATTCTGACTATCTGTACACTTGCGCACAACCAACCTCGGCAAGCACGGCAAGCCCTCATTTTGATTGTATCGTCGCAGCCGCCATCAAACACATCTCTTTTCGGTCGTTTAGCGAGGAAATCAATAATCCTCGCTGGTAAGCATCCTCGCCACTCGGCTATTCACCTCCGCCATCAAATCTTCCCATGTCAATCACTGCAAAACCAGGCACTCGACCCGACACTCTCTTTCACAGCGCCTTGTGCCACTGCGCGCCGATAAATTTACACACTGTTTGTCCTTCTCGCTTCTACTCTCTCTGTACTGTACTTACCAAAAAAAGCCCATGTCAATCACTGCAAAACCAGGCGCTCGACCCGACGCTCTCTTTCACAGCGCCTTGCGGGCCACTATGGGCCCAATCGCTCTCTTTCACCGCGCCTTGCAGGGCCACTACGGGCCCAATACACATAAAATTACACACCGTTGTGATACGGACTGCGGTTCCGTGAGTTGTCTGACCAGGTGAGGTATAGTCAGGCAAAAGCACGAAATTAGTTCGTCCTTTAGAGGGAAATTTCTCTGTCGCGGAGATTCGTCTGCTACGGTAGTACACGTGATGTTATGTATTTAAAATTGTGGTGGTGGTGGTACAGTTCCTTCCGCACGGAATGAACAGTTTCGCTAGGTTCCTCAATTTTTTTATTTCCTTGTTGGGGGCTAGCCTTCCAGGAAAGCTTCGATCAGAGGGTTTTCTTTTCTTATCTCCTTGCCTCGTATAGGTTGGGCAAGCAGTATCTTCAGAACTGTCGAACACAACGCGTACGGGTTATAGCGTAGTCCTTCGTAACCCGGCTTTTTCTCTACGCTGTGGTGGTACGGCCAAGGAGTGTCAATTCCGTGGGCGTGCGTGTGGCGAAATGGTGAGAATGAATCGTGGAGTGGTTATAATCGAATCGGATAAGCCTTCCGCGACAATGGGGGTGGTACTCCGCGCACGGGTCTGCGTTCGAGGCCCAAGCCAACGGTTACACGCTGCTAAGTTGGGCTGCTGGCCGTTTAGAAGTTTCGCCGCGTGTTTTACAACCACGCGAGCTATCAACACCGATGTTTTCTATAATTCCCTCTGGCTTGTTCTATTAAGCCAGAAGTACTACGGACAAGCCTCCTTGATTGAAGCTTCGGCCCAAATTGACCTTGGTTGATCCCACGGAGGGCGGTGCAACCTGAGCGAGTATGTATTTGACTAGATTCTCACCCCGTATGATCGAGGGGGAGTAGCTTAGGTATGAGCAGTGGGAGGTAATAATATGCCTTCTTCTACGGACGTCCCTGCTTTTATACTAATTTCTTTCCGACCGCCACGTGCGACCTTATTCCTCATTCGTCCACGGACCCCTTTTGACACTGCGCTCCTTGCCTCGCGGCGGGGATCTCCATGCTTTCCCGTGCGCTTGAAGGAGATA